TGGAACAGTTTCTTAGTAATACTTTTGAAAGGATGTGGGATTAATTATTTTTGGGAATGCATTTGACTTTTACTCACACAAGGGACCTTGTCGATGAGGCCAAAGATTACCATCTGATGCCAGAGCGACGGCCACACTTCCCAGCCTACAAAACCCGACAGAGATGTTGCACCTCCATCGCAGGCTTAATCTATGCAGTTGGGGGCCTCAATAGTGCTGGTGACTCATTAAACGTTGTGGAAGTATTTGATCCCATTGGAAACTGTTGGGAGCGATGCCAACCTATGAGCACAGCTCGCAGTCGAGTGGGTGTTGCTGTCGTGAACGGGCTGCTTTATGCCATTGGTGGTTACGATGGTCAATCACGGCTTAGAACCGTGGAAGTTTACAACCCAGAAACTGACACGTGGACCAAAGTTGCTAGTATGAATACTCAACGCAGGTAGGAAATCCTGAAATTGTCATTTAATATGTGAGGGAAATATATTACATTTGAAAAGCTATTTAATTGTTAATTGAGAAAGAACTGAAAACGTTTAAGGTTTTGCAGAGTTTTAGGTAGATATATCTGATGCTTTTGATATTTCTTCTCTTCGTTCTGCATTAGTGCAATGGGAACAGTTGTAGTTGATGGACATATATATGTGTGTGGTGGATATGATGGCAAGTCCTCTCTAAATTCAGTCGAGTGCTATTCTCCAGAGACTGACAGGTAAGTCATATATTCTTCAAGAAAAATTCAGGGTTAATGTAGGGCTGCCACCTTTCATTCATTTGTAAATCAAGTAATTAGGAATGGAAATTATTTTGTTTAAAAAAAATTAAGAAGAAATTAAAATACATATATAATAACAATGTGGACCAAAAAGACTATCAAAAATGTTATGATAATATGGAATAATACTGTTAAAATACTTAATGTAATAGTATGTGTGTCCATCAGGCTGTTTTATATTGCAAAAGAGACCAATAATAATAATAAAAAAACTTAGAATTTACATTAACATTATAGAAATTAGTCATCAGTTGAATTTTAATTTGTTACTTGTAATGAGCATTGTAATAATATTATGTGGATAAACTTTCTAACCTGCAGAGGGCGCCAACAACTTGGTGATTGTTGTTACACTGTACTGCATGACACTATAATTAAATGCTTATTTAATCTTGGCCAAACTATATGCAATTCAAAAGGTTGTATGCAATCATGCAATCTTCAATATTTGAGCAGATAGAAAATGTAAACACAGCCTAATAGTCTTGCTACTGTCTATTAAATAATAATGTTGTTAATATTATTTATTCCTTTGCCTATGTTTTTCTGTTCCTAATTTTATAACTTTTATAACAGTGTTTGCATATTTATTTTAATCATTTATTAATTAATATATTTATTATATATTTATAATTAATATATATTATTAATATATTAATATTTCTTGTTTTAAGTAAAGGTGTCTTCGATAGCAAAGTGGTTTTGGTATCGAAAATCCTTTCACTGGTATTGGACCTGTGACAACACTATTTTGCTCTGTTTATTAAACTATCCATTTAGGTGTTCATTTATTTTCTGTCTCAACAATCATTGTAGCTTTCTTTGGAATCAGAATGTGTTTATGTGTGTTTGTTACCAGATGGACGATAGTTACAGAAATGAGCGCAAACCGCAGTGCTGCTGGCGTTACTGTATTTGAAGGCAGAATATATGTTTCGGGTGGTCATGATGGATTACAGATCTTTAACACTGTAAGTAAACATCATCATTCAAATTACAGGATACAGTTTGCACTTTTGTTTTTGTTCACTTTTTGTGAAGTTGTGAATATTCCTTAAATATATAAATATATTGTTGTTTCATGTTTCTGCCACTAGGTGGAGTACTACAACCATCATACAGCGTTGTGGCACCCTGTCGCTCCCATGAAAAACAAGCGCTGTCGGCACGGCGCTGCAGCCTTTGGCAGCAATCTGTATGTGGCAGGAGGTTACGACGGCTCTGCGTTTCTCAGTGGAGCAGAGGTGTATAGCTCAGTAGCAGATCAGTGGAGCCACCTAGTGGCCATGAACACTCGACGCAGCCGCATTTCTCTGGTGGCCAATTGTGGTCAACTCTATGCAGTGGGAGGTTATGATGGACAATCCAATCTCAGCTCTATGGAAATGTATGACCCAGAAACTAACCGTTGGACGTTTATGGCACCAATGGTTTGCCATGAAGGCGGGGTCGGGGTGGGCTGTATACCATTACAACCCGCTTAACGCCACAGTCTCCCTCAGCCCATAAGGACATTTTAATTATTAAAAAAAAAAAAATAACAAAAAGGTTTTTGTACTGAGTGGTCTAACAAAATGCATTCATGACCCTTGGTTCACATGTTTGTATCCGAGGTACTATTATTCAGGCTTTTTATTGAGAAAAGCCTAAAGCAGATATGCCAGAACACCTTTAATGGTGATGTAATCCTGTTTTGTTTTTTTTGACAACCAAATGTAGAATTCACACATACATTCGAAGACATTTACAGGAAATGGGCCGCATTTCTGCTAAAAAGCACACTTTTGCACTGTTATCAGATAGTGTGTATTGTGGGGCCCATTAAAGCATCAGTTGTTGGGGAATATCATCATATATACATATAAATTTGTAATTTTATTCCTCTAAACTGGAAGCCAATTCAGATTTCGAGACAGGTGAAAGTTAACCACTGTTAACCCATGCCATTATTGGGAGAGTATAATCAAGAAGGTATGATTAATAAGGATAAACTTGTTTTTAATAATATTTTATCAAGAATTTTTCTTACTTCGAAGTACTAGTCGTATTTTATTTGGGATATTGATGGAAATTTAATGTGAGCAACTGACCTCTTATTTGTATGTGCAAAACATCTGCTAGATGTGCCATGACTTTACACTTTAAATGGGACTACTTTTTGTTTTCACCACTTTATTGACTTGAATTCTCCTAAATTTGAAAGAAAACGTCTTTTTTGGTCGATCTTTTTGATTTGGGGATGACAGATCACCAGCTCTGTATCTTGGATGGATGGGTTGTGGTGTACCCATCCAATCCCATGTTTTACTTTTTAATTTGACCTTCGTATTTTTGAGAACCAGCACACATACCAGGGAAAGTGTAATTGACGTAGGACTCTTGTCAGATATGTGCTTTCAGGATTATTTACTATAGTGGCTTCACATCCTCTTATTGAACTGTGAGTGTTGGAGATTTAAATGAAACATTCCCATGTTTTGTGCAAAAATTATCCAAATTATGTTTCATGACTGTATAGACGTATACATTTTGCAACTTGATGGTTTTAATTTCACATAACGCATCTGAAATTAGGATTACTGACTGTGAAATTTTAATACGGTTTATATTTTCCTTCTCATAATACCAGTACTGCATTTCTCTGCTGATTTTATTTTATGATTTATTTTGTATTAACTTCCAATTGTGATGCAGTATTTCTACTTTTAATTTATTATTAGCTGTAATTTTTCCTCTTTTTATAGCATTGCACATGGTAGTTTGTCACATAAATGAGAATCAAGTTTACAGAAATCTAATATATATGGATCACATCTCTGTATGTGTTTAAATATATTCCTCGGCTACCTCCGTTTGAGATGGGAGAGCTCAACAGGGACAAATATCGAGTCTGCCGCCCTGTTAACTTTTAAAACATTTCCATTTAACCTGAAGGAACGGCATTAACTGAGATCTTTTGTGTGGGATTAAAATATTCGTTTTCACATAATTCCTAAATGTCTTAAATAAACATTGATTTTATGGACACAATGCCGCCCTGTGCCATCATTTTCTCTGTGACGCACAACAGCTTTGGGTCCCACCCTTTGAGTGGTGTTTTAATTCAACAGGTGTTTGCTTGTTCAGTTAGTATGAGACTGAAGATGACTGGGAACATGAAAAGAGCCCTGATGGTGTTACTGCTCATCTCTGTGCTGAACTTCTCAGCTGCTTTTCCTATGGAGCCACTTCAGAAGGTATAAAAAAACAATGTATAATTAAAGCTGTTTCTGGTATTGAAAAGACTAACTATAACTGATGTAATGCATTCGTTCTTCATCTTACAGACACCTCTACTGATCCAACCATCAGATCCACGGCCGTCAGAAAGTGTAACACTAGGAAACTCACAGGTGAGAAGCATGTTTATGATGTTACATAATCAAACCTATTTGTTTGTATGTGGAATATTACAGCTGTGCTGACATTTGTAGGATGTGAGGGTCAGCAGTCTTGGATTCCGTATGAAAAGAGCCAATTCTGCTAACACAAAGAAACCGGCCCGTTACTGTGCTGGATGCTTCTCTGTCATTGGAGACCCAACGAGACCAGAGAAATTAAATCTGCTGTATTTTCTGAATGAATAACCCTAAATATGAATATCTTTCAGTTTCTGTTAGAATCTGTTTATGCAACTATATTTTAGTATACTATTCTAGACTGTCACGTCTTAAGATTTTGCATGACTTTGCACTTTTTTAAAATGAAATATTCAATAAAATCTCAGTAAAATTAGTGTAAATTCAGGACTGTTTTTCTTTAAAAACATCACCTATTTATACTAGAAATGTCAGTCGCCTATTGACTTTTGTTATAGCTTTGTGCTTTTTTCTCATGCATGCAGTAAATGCGATATTTGAGGATTTCCTAAACAAAGAAATGATAGTTCAGAATGATAACATGGATTTGAAGTAACGTCTAAGTGGCTGTTTCATAGACGTGTCATTATAACCACAAAGTGTTATTATCGTGTTAAGGAGCTTCAGTTTTGACCATAGTCAATTATTCATATCTCCCACACTATGATTTATGGCTTTGCTACCCGTGGGAGTAAAATAGGATATAGGCACATAAGATCAGAATATTGAATCATAGAGGCTAGTGTCAGAGAAACAACTGGATAGTCTTTGTATATAAAATCTTCAGCTAAATGCTCAATAAAAATGAACTTAGGTCAATATTTTTATGAGTGCATCTTCAGTTTATGCATTATATTTGTATTTATTTCTAACCCGCACAGAAGTCATGTAGTCTATAGATGGTGTATATTACAAGCGAGGAGAAACAAATGAAAATCAACATTTTTGCAAAGGTTAATAAAATATATCATTCCTGCTTGCTTTCTTCTGGAGCACCAGGAGCATTAGAACCTGATAGAAGACATCAAAAGACATTTTTAATCTCAAAAATTCCTTGATCGTCTCTTTAATATTTTCTACAAAACATTGTCATCATTAATGTTAAGCTTAATATTCACAATACAATCAGATAATTTGAGAACTACATTCTGTAGATGGAAACAGTACCTTCAGTCTGTGGACTGCTTTGTGGTCCAGATGTGGAAGGTGTGGGATCAGTTCTTCCCTCAGGTACTGAAGAACCACCGGGGAACCTGCAGTACAGAACAACATTGTGGTTACCTGAGAGATCGGTCTGGGATCACAGAAACTGAAACTAGGGAGTTTTTTTTTAAAGAATTTAATTCAGGGGTCTCCAGATCCGGTCCTGGAGGGCTGGTGTCCTGCAGAGTTTAGCTCCAATCCTAATCAAACACACTTGAACCAGCTAATCAAGCTCTTACTAGGTATACTAGAAACTTCCAGGCAGGTGTGTTGAGGCAAGTTGGAGCTGAACTCTGCAGGACACTGGCCCTCCAGGACTGAGTTTGGAGATCCCTGATTTAATACTTTTGAGGAACGAGGAAGAAGACCGAGTCAGGACATTAGTTGTCTTATCCTCTTGTAATAAGCAGATTGAAAATGAGCCTTACGTTGAGGAGGAGAATCTGCTCTCCTCTCCATCCAGGATTCCATGATATGTTCCGATCTCCATCTCCAGCTTCATCTTGTTGTTGAGTAAGGTTTCATAATCACGGCGCTGCTGCTCGATGTCCCCGCGGACGTTGTTGAGCTCAGACTCCAGCTTTCCGATAACAGAGCCCAGATTTTGGAGCTCAATGCCATGCCAGTGCTTGGCGTCATTGATGGCGTTCTCCAGGCCTCGTTTCTGCAGGGATCATGCATAGTTCAGTCTAGTGAATTGAATACTGTTGTGCTTTATGATCTTTGCTTTGAGAAGGTTGTCCTACCAGAGCTCTAATAGACTCGGTTTCGGCCTGCAGACTCTGAATCTGGCACCCAGCAACATTGCACTCTGTCTTCAGACTCTCAAGCTCCTCTTCCTCTCGACTCAGCTTACTGGTCACATTGTCAGTTTGCTGCACATTCACAAATAGGGGATTGTCATATTATTATATCTTTTCAGTCAGTTGGTCATTATTACAAAATAAACCCCAATAAAGTGTTTGGGACACTGGCGTAATCCTGATGGAAATGTTTATTTGAGCTGAAAAGATCGGTAATACTACAGTAGTTTTATGTGTTAACATAAAATAACCATGAACAGTACTTTTACAGCATTTATTAATTTTGATTAATGCTAATTTCTACATATACTAATGTATTTGTTCCAGTAATAAATTATATTTAAAAAAATTATTCATATAAATCATATAATTACACTATCGTTCAAAACGTTTGGGGCATGTAATATTTTTCTTATGAGTCATAAGTCATAAGTCTCTTATGCTCACTAAGGGAGCATTTATTTGATCAAGCATACAATAAAAAAATATATATAATTACTGTGAAATATTATTATTCAAGGTAACAGTTTTCTATTTTCATATATTTTAAAATGTCATTTATTCCTGTGATGGCAAAAGCTGGATTTTCAGCAGTCATTACTCCATCTTTAGTGCCACATGATCCAACAGAAATCATTCTAATATGTGGATTTGGTGCTCAAGAAAAAGATTAATAAATCCTTAAAAAATAAAATAATAAATTATGTAAAAATGTATTAATTCACTCTTAGTTCCTGATACCTAATGCATTAAATGACCATAAAATGTTTTCAAATTATTTTATGTGAGACGAAAGAAACTACAGATTGAAAACAGTTAATTATACAGTTTAATGGTCATTGTGCAAAAATATTTGGTGCAGGATGACACGATTGACTGATTCAGAATCAAGTATCACAGAGCACTGTGTGATAAAATAGTCTATTTCCTAATAAATAACTCTAAGGGTTCATGTTCTGTGGTTTACCTTGCACTCAAGGTAGGCATCAGTCTCAGCACGGTTCTTCTCAATGACCTTCTCCCAGTGAGAGCGGATAAAAGCTAGAATCTGGTCCAGGCTGGTCTCAGTGGGAGGATCCGGCTCATCAACCTCACGGTCGGACATCTGCTTATAGAGCGCTCTAACATCCTGAAGAAGAGCAAAAGAAGATGCTAATTTACCACTGAAACATCTCTCTCATGAAGAGGGTTCGATTGTGGATCTGGTCTTATCGCACCTCCATGTGATTTTGCTCCAGATTCATCAACTCGTTCTTCATACTGTCAGTTTTATTCTCCAGGTCCATCCTGGTCAGGTTTGCATCATCAATGACTTTGTACAGAGAGTTTATCTCCTCTTCCACTGCTTTACGGAATGGCTGCTCATTCTCATACCTATGCATGCATAGAAACACACTATAGAGTCTATAGTATAGACTATCTGATGGCAATCTGCTGATGCAGATAAAAGCTAGTGATATGATTAAAGATTCTGTTGCTGTTTTAATCACACTCACACCTGTCTTTAAAGTCCTCTGCATTGGCTTGAACATTCTCAGTCTGGAGCATAAGTCGAGCGTTGTCCAGGATGGCCTCACTGACCTGATAGAAAGCAGAAATACCTTACTTGTACACCTGTGAATCTTTTTACTTCGAAATTAGGAGGTTAATTCTTAAAACAAGATACATTCATTAGAAGCAAAAAATTATAATAGTAAATACTATAACAGTACCTTCAGTATTATTGGAAACATTACATTTAAATATAAAGTTTGGAGAGTTTATTGAAAAATGGGGGCAAAAACAAAAGTGTTGCGTTTATAATTTTGTTCAGTGTAGATTTTAGCTAAATTTATTAAAATTTGATTAAAAGCTAAATTGAACATATATTTTATACTACATTTTGTTAAATTTATGCTTCCAAAAAAATTGCCAATAGGTTAAGAAAAGAGAGCTTAATTTAGGGTATTTAAAAAAAAAAACTTATGTTTTATCTTTATCTTAGACCTTTATCTTAAATAAATAAAAAATATATATTTTAATTTTGAGGAAAAAAGTTTAAAGGATGTTAAAAATATTTCCATTAGAAAAAAAAGACAAAAACACGTTAATGAATTATTTTTGCTTTGTTACCTCTATGCTTGATGTATTAATCCAACCCTGTCAAACATCCTCCTACCTGCATATAAATATCCTCCCAGTCTTGTTTCAGGCCAGTCCATGTCCCGGCGCTGGCGGCTTTACGATCCAAGCAGTGTCTGATCTGTTCCTCCAGCTGTTGGTTGAGTTGCTCCAGGGCATGAACTTTATCGCGGTACTCCAGCAGGCACGTGTTGAGGCTGTCAAAGCCAAACTGATGGCCTCGTTCTCCGGGATGGGTCACCACAGGAACACTGGTGCTTCTAAGGCAATGCAGAAACACACTGTGGATGCCCAGAGCTCTGCGAGACACACGTGCACCCAGGTTGCTGGTACCTCCGGTGGGAGCCATGCCTACAAACACTCCCCGAGGCACAGAGGTCCCTGCTGCACTCATGCGACCCACACCGCCAGGCCGCTCGGAAGCAGCCTGGCCCAGGAAGGAGGATCGGCGTCGTGGCAAAGGCATTCCTGTCCTGATGCTTTTTAAGTGACAGGCCACTATCAGTCCATAGACATGACCACAATGCAAGTGCAAATATCCACTGACCTCCCCTCAGCTAAACAGCAAGAGCTAAGAATGCATGCCTCTTTATGGTGACCTGGCCTTCTGGAAAGCAGGCTCTTTGTTTTTAGTACTATTGTGACAGAAACCTGGTGATGCTGGTCACTGCTCTTTGTTCATCACCGTTAGGCAGTTTTTGGCTGCCTCAGCACAGTGGTCTTCTCAGGAAAGCTCTATAGACCAATCCAGGTCCCCCTCTCAGTATGTATGACTATGTTTGACAATGACAGTGGGGACACTAAACTATCATCACAATGACCCAAGAGAGCACTTTTGTGTGTGTTTGCATATGTGTGTTGCACATATGAATCCAGAATGTTATGTCACCTCTTATAATCAAAGTAGTGGTAAACATGAACAAATACAGAATGAAAGAGTTAATTGTTTCACAAGATGATTTTGCATTTGATAAGTAATCTTCACCCCATCTTCCTGTTTGCTGGTGGCAAATGAATTGATCTGATCTCAAATCAGAGAAGTCAGAAGTTTTTTTCCCATGAGAAAGTGATAAGGTTTTATTTATCTGTATCTTTTAATCACACGTACAAAAAAGTGCATTCATATAGTCAATGAGGCTATAAACAGTGTGTGGTTGACTGTTTGTTTACCCACAACAACCTACCCTGAGAAAGTAACCATAGCAACATTACGCTGCTCAAGCACTTTCTGTTCGTTAAACTTCTTTAAAATTTTAACCCCTCAGTCATTTTTCTTTTTATAATTCGTTCACTTGAAAAGTTAAAAAACTGTTGTAGCTGTGGCATGGTGGGTAGAGCATGGGTAGATGTGTGTGTGGAGATGGTCCTCACTGCAGAACACAAATCCAGGGGGCGTGGTTGGATGCAGATCCAACTCCTCCCACCTGATATATACCTAAACCTACCTGTCTCCACCCCCTAATCCCTAAACCCAGCCATCTCCACCCCTAAACCTATCAATCTCCACTCGTAGATGTGGATCCTACCACGCTCCCTGGATCTTGTGTTTCACAGTGAGGGGGCTACTGTGTGTGTGTGTTTGTCTCATCATATATTCAACAGTTTGTCCTTAAAGCTGACTGGCAGAGAGGCTTTCCGAGAATTCTGATTAGATTGAATTTGTATTATCATACTATTTGTAGGCCTTCTATTTCTGACATAAATGTACATGAAGAGAGTAGTAGAGTATGCTAATTTCCACAAGAAATAGTAAACCATCCGGGTACCTCTGGGATACTTATTTCAACATACTACGATTTGGGACACACTAATTCAAATTTCATATACTATATAGGACGGATAGCATGCAAATTGGTACGCAGTAGGTGTCTTAATGATTGAGTCATTGAATCATTCATTCAACTGATTCATTTGTTCAGAAATGATGATTCACTTAATTAGCAATGACATCACTGCAGTTGCCTTGTTTGGTATTATGCTCATTGGGGGAGCAAAAACAAAATAACTGGCTTTATTGTATCTAAAGCAAGTTTCTCAATATTAACTTATTAAACTGTTGTATTACAGTATCACACTTGCAATCCTATAAACACTGTAAACCACTCTAGGACACTTTAATCTGCACAATGCTTGTTATAGTTCAATAATATCGATTTGTGTCAGATTATGAAGATGTGATGTTGATAACTGGGAAATCTTTATCCTTGGCCTAATAACCTTGACAGATCAGATCTTAACACATGACCAGAGAATGGCCCAGTGAGAATCTGACTTACTCATGACTGATTGTCACTGATTACCGAAAAGGCCCGAGGTTTTGTTCAAACCAGATGCAATATTACACAAGAGATTATGTTCCATAAGCTATTTAGGTATATATTTTAGGGGCTTTCAGGATCTACTGTATTTTAAAATGTTTAGCATGTAACCCAGAATCAACTTTGGTTTCGCATTTGTTTCTCATAGCAGAGAGTTCTTAAAATATTTTGCTCTAAGGGGCCTTTTGAACTACTAAGGTACAGTTTGATGTACTTTTTGTCTTCCAGCCAAGTTCGTCAACAGAATTTTGCTGGTTATTTCTGCATTATAAACAAATCTACTGTTATATTGTAAACCAAGGTGGATTAACCTAACCTATGAGTTTGTCTCTTGTAATAAACCCCAAGTATTAAAATATTTAGTAATGGAATAAAACCTCTTCCTCCTCTAAATAACCCTGGGAGAAGTGCAATGTACACTTCACACTGTTATGACATTCAAAGAAATTAAAAAGTGTCACATTTTCCACTGAACCAGATACAATTCCTCATCTGATAGGAAAACAAAAGAGTGTGATTTCCCCTACTCTTTCCCTGTCATTTATTGTTCAGGGGATTTTGTAAATAACATAGATATTTTGTCTGATTCTCAATTTAGTTGTCTTTACAATACAGTTTCTCATCAAATGATACTAGTTAGGTTTTCTATTAAATTTTAATTTATTTAATGTCAATCATATAGTTTGATCACAGCTGAGTTTGATCATGCCATGGGCATGTCATGAGTTTGCAAAATGAGTGAAGGTATGCTTCACCTGCCATCAGAACAGGCACAAACCTATCAGTAGAGTCTGCCCTTGAGACTTTCAAGACCAAACAGATGTCTGCTAGATTCCACTTTTTATTAATGTCACTGATACCAAGCACTGACCTTATGCAAGAGATCTGTGATAATAGAATTACATAAAGGCTGGAGTTGACAGATTTCACAGAAAATTGCCTAGTGTGTCACTAATCTAAGCTTTTTTTTTTTTTTTTGTAGCTTTGTTTTAATTTGTCTCCTAGAATCAAGGCACATGTTTCTGTGTAAGTTTGTTGCATGTTCCTCAGTCCTTTAGTGTCTGATGTTTTTTTTCTGGAAAAAATATGGTATTTATGATAACTGTTCATATTTTCAATTGTTTTCAGATTGTTCAAAATCTGTGGTTAAAGCTAGTGTTCTAGAATCTCTTTTAACTGAATTCCACACAACAATCTGGTAAAGATACTTGATGGAGTGGTGATTTTTAATGGTAAAATAGCTTGTGAAATAGCTCATAGATTATTTATATAATAGTATTTAAGTATATAGTATTTATTATAGTATTCATATTTTTAGCTAGTGTTTATTTTTACATTTTCAGTTTAATTTTATTTCAAGTAATTTTTTTAAAAATAAGATTTTTTTCTATTTCAGTTTTAATAATTTTATTACTTCAACCATTTTTAAAGTTTTTCATCTAATATATACTGTATATTTTATTTAATTGAACTTATATATAATTTACAGAAATTACATGTCATAGTTTTAGTTTTAGTTAACAATAACAACACTGACAGATTTTTGTGGAGCATTATACACTCTTAGAAGAAAAGGTTCTATATAGAACCTTTTTGGCATAAAGGGTTCTTTGGAGTTGAGTAAAGAACCCTAGGGTTCTATATAGAACCCCAAAGAACCTTTTTTTTTAAGAGTGTACTATAAATCAGCATTTATAATGTCATTTTCCTGTGATTATTCTCTGGCTCAAAACGTTCTGTGGTTCCACAAGCAAAGGTTTTTGGGAAAGTATTTTTGAATTTCTTTTTGGTGACATTTCTCCAGGCATTTAAAAGAGATTAAGGCCATTTAAAATTTCTGATGGGGAATTAAATCTAAGTATTTAGTAAGGTAAATGTGTATGACACCTTTGAAAAAAAAAACTTGGGTGATATTCATCATTCAGCAGCTTTCACTGAAATACAGCATTTAGATTGAAGACCCATCCTAGAAGGAAAATATGCCTGCAGGTCAGAATATTTTGAGGTTTAATAGACAACCGACGCCATACTTTGCCACTGAGACAAGTTACAGCTTATTCTTTCTGTATGGAGTGTCTCTTTTTGCAATGCCCTCGGTCCCTCAAGTGTATTTAAACAGCGATCATTAGTCTCTCGCCCTGCACTCTCCGCTCAGTTCTGATCCTTCAGCCTTCTCTGATCCTTCAGCTGTTCACCATGGCTTTTTCCATTTCCTTGGCCTCCTCCAGGATGTCTGGTGGATATGGAGGATTTGGTGCAAGTGGTGGAGCAAGATTGGGTCTGGGTCTCGGGGGTGGTTCTGGCTTAGGTGGAGGTCTTGGCCTGGGCTTTGGAGCTGGTGGAGGTCTCGGTCTTGGCCTTGGTGGAGGTGCAGGGGCTGGTGCAGGATTGGCACTGGGTAGTGGTGGCGGTGGTGCACTGGTTGCCAGTCCTGCATTCGCAATGGGTCGTGCCGTTGCTGCAGGAGGACTCGGTGCATGCGCCGCTCTCGCTGTCGGTCCATCATCAGGTGTTGCTGTGGCCCCGATACTCTCGAGAGCGGCTGAGAAGCACACACTCTCTGGGCTGAATGACTGTTTTTCCACATACATGGCCAAAGTACGGGGGCTACAGCAGGAGAACGCAGCTCTGGAGGCCAAGCTGTCCCAGCTGACTGGGGGGACGGATGTGTCTCAAGGGTCATCTGTGACTGCGATGATAGAGTATGAGGCCCAACTGAGTATCGCAGCACATTGGAAACTCTCACTATCGACACCGTCAAACTGGAGATTGAGCTGGACAATGTCCGTGGAACTGCCCATGAACTGAAGGCTAAGTGAGTGTTTCCTTTTCTTTTTTCTTTTTTGACATTAGACCTGGTGTTTTCTTTTTTTATGACATTAAAATTTGTAGGAGTATATCTTAAGATTTTATGATATAATTACATGTAAAATGTATTTTAATGTTATTCAAACACCAGAAATATACAACATATTGCCAATAAATAAAGTGTTAATTTGGATTTTCTCCAAGGCTTGACTTTGAAAAAGGAGTGAAGTTTCAGCTTGAGTCTGATATTGCTGCCATGAAAAAGGTGAGAAGGATGACATTCAGTCACAGAATGTATATTGAAACCGATCTGTTATTGACTTAAAATGTAAAACTTTGACCACACATGTCTCTATACCTTTTTTAGGACATAGAATTGGCCTCTGACCTGAGAATTGATTTGGATGCCAAATACTCCAGCCTGAAAAATGAACTGGACTTTGTCAATAAAACACAAGAAGAGGTACAAATTA